TCTTGAATATGATATCAATTTTCCATCTTTGACAAAATGGACTCGAGATAATCCACAAACTTAAGTCATCTATGATACGTTTTCAGGAGTTTTGACTCGTTCGCAACAAAAAGCGAAACAAGCATCTTTAAATACCAATCAAGAATTTTGCATGCTTAATTCTTTGTCTCTAAAATTAAACTTAAAACTGTTTAAATGGCCTTTAATCATGCAGATTGGGTAAAGGCTATGCAAGACAAAATAAAAGAATTTGAGCACAACAAGGTTTGGAGATTAATTGTAACTCCCGAAAATGCATCAGTTGTTGGTTTAAAGTGGGTATTTCATAACAAAATGGACAAAGAAGGTAATGTGATTCGAAACAAAACACAACTTGTAGTCAAAGGATTTTGTCAAGAAGAAGGAATTGATTATGAAGAAACATTTTCTCCTGTAGCAAGACTAGAGTCTATTCGAATATTTTTGGCTTATGTTGCTCACAAAACTTTCGAAGCATTTCAGATGGATGTGAAGTGCGCCTTTCTCAATGGAGAACTGGAAGAAATGATTTATGTTGAACAACCTCTAAATTTCGTAAATGAGAAATTTCCTGATCATTGGTATATGCTAGATAAAGCAGTGTATGGTTTGAAGCAAGCTCCACGAGCTTGGTATGAAACTCTGACTAAATTCTTAAACAATCAAAATTTAAACAAGGCTCTATTGACCCCACCTTCTTTCGTAAGAAATTAGGTAATCATTTAATCATCGTTCAAAATTATGTTGATGATATCATTTTCGGTTCAACTAGTCCTGAATTGACTGATGAATTTCATAAACTGATGGAAATAAAAGTTGAAATGAGCATTATGGGTCCAATTAAAATTTTCCTTGGTTTAAATATTAGGAAGAGTTCGGAGGGCATTTTCATCAATCAAGAAGCATTCACAAAGACTTTACTTTCCAAATTTGGTATGAATGGTGAATCAAAGGTTAAAGTTCTGATGGATTTTGGCACAAAGCTCACTCATTCGCTTGATAAACCTGCAGTAAATATTAATTTATATAGGCAGATGATTAGTTCTTTATTGTATCTAACATCTAGCCATCCGGATATTATGTTTGCAGTCTGTTATTGTGCGAGATTTCAAGAAAATCCACGCGAACTACACATGATAGATTTAAAGAATATTTTCAGATATCTTCGTAAGATTACTTCTCTTGGATTAGGGTATCCTTCTAACTCCGGATATTTTGTTCAGGTATATTCTGATGCTGATCTTGGAGGTTGTGGTCTAGATCGCAAAAGTACATATGGTGGATGTCAGTTCTTGGATGAAAAATTGGTTAGCTGGAAATCAAGGAAAGAAACATGCGTATCTTTATCAACTGTAGAAGCCGAATATATTGTAGCATCCTCATGTACTTCGCAAATTATCTAGATACAAAGTCAACTTAGATAGTATGGCATGAACATGAAAAAGATTCATTTATACTACGACTCTGAAAGTACCATCCGTATTTGTCATAACCCTGTTCAACATTCAAAAACAAAGCACATCGCGTTACGATATCATTTTATAAAAAATCATGTTGAAGATGGAAACGTTGAAGTGCATTTCGTACGATATAAGGATCAATTGGCGAATATTTTCACGAAAGCTTTATCAGATATAAAATTTAACAGAATTCTACATGGACTTGGGATGATGGACGCATAATCGGTTCCAAAATCAAATCTTTGAAGTTATGAAATGATCACTATTCACCTGCGACGCGTTATGAATTTCGCAATCCTTCGCAATTTGGGTTTTTCACATACTTACATGCGAGAAGATGTGATCTTTCACAGACTGGTGCTCTAGGTATTTTTTCTGTCTTTAGTTTTTCAAAAATAATCAAAAATCCAAAAAGATTTTATTTTTGTCTTTAGTTTTTCACAAACATTCAAAAATCCAAAAAGATCTTATTTTTTTTCTTTAGTTTTTCAAAAATATTCAAAAACTCAAAAAGATTTTTTTTTCTTATATTTGCTGGCATGTCTATTTTCTAGGAGATCAATTATTATTCTTGTTCGCAATAGTTAGGTGTCCTTAGAAGCATGTTGCAGCATGTTGTCTAAAGACTCAAAGATTCTTTGTTTGCGAAAAGGCCTTAATGAAATTTCTTGTCTTAAGGATTTCTTCCCAATAGGCCGTATTAACAAAAATCATCGACCTACCTATCTCTACTCAATTTCGGAGCATTGAGATTTCTACTTGGTCAATATTTCGTAGCAGATGTACTATATTTCTTTTCACCAATCTTGGAAACCAATGATGTCTTGGATATGTACAAATCCAAACATATGGTTCATTTCTAAACCTTAATGAATTGACGGTTGTCCCAATAATTATTTTTTATTAACCCTTGATCTTTCGAGTAAATACCAACTAGAAGTTAGGGTTCTTAAAAATGGTTTTTATGATCATTTTCATTGTTAACTTGAGAATGTGAAAGATTCGTTTTCTTTTCCAATCCTATAGTTCTTACACAATGTATACACTATGACGCATATCCCAAGACATCTCTAGTCTAAAACAACTAGGATGTAGGTGTGCAACAATTCTACATTTATGATATCTTGATCATTATTACCACGATCTTAGTGAAACCCAACAAAGCTTTCCTAATATGAATTGACGGTGAACATTTTGTTATAGACTGAAACAAAGGAACTGACGGTTGAAATTCTTATATTTCACAATGCTATATCTTTTAATGTTCAAAATCTCTTAATTTTCATTTTATGAGATCTTAATGAGATTGACTGATTCCATATTAATCTCTTCCCAATAAGATCCGATTATTCTTCTCAAATTATGAGATTTTCGTCTCCATTTTTCTTATCTCGATGTTACTTTCCAATCCATATGGCATTTTTGTTAAACTTGATCTTGGGTACACTGGTCAATCAAGGTTTTTCCTTTCATATCTTAGCATTTATATTAAGGTTCTTCTACGATTGGAATTGAGCCTACCCATTTAACCTATGAAAAGATGACTTTCATAACTTCTTAACAAGTTGACGATTGTAATTCAACGGGAAACCACATAAGCACATCTTAGTCTCTCTTGACTATTGAAGGAATAGAATCTGTGCCCAGGATCTAACTACTTTTATATCAAAGATTCTTTGATATCATTACTTATCCAAAAAAAAATTGCTTCTATCTTTTCATTTGGTACACTTTTGCACTGAGATCTCTGATTTTTCAAAACTCTGGGTTCTATTTCGTGGTAAAGATGTCAACGTGTTTGACAAAAAAATCATGGTCGTAATTCCAATGGATACTATTTCAATTTGGAAAAATTAAAGGGTTGATCATCGATTGCGAAACTGCTGCAAATCGAAATGGTATGTTTCTTTTGGAGTGTATTCAAAGGGTCTGACATTGTACTGTTCAATAAACGGTGATTCAAGTTAGTTACTATGATTTAAGGAGGTGGCAATGTTTTATTGGTTCCATATGTTTGGAATGATTGGAATTATTCCCTTTGCTGACATCAGAGATGTCAAAACATTTAATGCATGGTGGCGTATTCTCTCTCTCTCTCTCTCTCTCTCTCCAATTCTATAAACGGTTCAAATTTAAATCCCACACCTTTTTCACCGGATAAAAACCCTAACTGTTCATCATCTTCCTTTCTACACTCAAAACCGTAAACAGTGACCGACGATTTTCTGCTTCAACTCTCATGGATTCTTCTGATCGTATCTCATTCATGGACCAATTCCAACAAGTCCTTTCTTAAAAACCTCCCACTCCACCCATTGTTTCTGAAATCTCTATATCCACACCAATTCCAACAAGTCCTTTTTGGTCTTGTTTCTCATACCTTCAACTAAACCTGTTGTGATTCCAATATTTACCGAGGCAACTTCTGTAACTCAAACCACAATCCATACAGAACCTCTACCAGAGAATTCTACTTTCGAATCCCATAGGGAGGAGCATAGAACCTTAGGCATCCCTGGTAATACATCTGATGTGGGGCCAAATGTAAATATTGGTGAAATTTTTCTCAATCAAATGTTTCTGCGCCAGAATTCATCTATACTCCACCTGTTATTGGTGATGGTGAAGAAGAAATTATAACGAAAGATGATTCTGAATCAAATGATGAGTTTGTGGCAACTAACTTTTTGTTTCAAGTTGAAAGTGATCATGAAGATGATGATGCTCCAATGACCAAAGGAGATATTCACAAGCTGAACAAGAAGTTAGATGAAATTCTTTCTCAGTCCTCTAGTTTCATCAATACAAAGTATGAAGAATTGCTCTCTTCTCATCAAGACACAATTTAGAAGTTGGTCAAAGAACATGTTGATAAGCTTTCACAACATCAAAAGCTTGTTGATGATTCTGCAAAACTAGTCAAGGAAACAAGTTCGCAGGTCGCAACCATTCTCATAGAAGTCAAATCAATCGCATCCAAGCAAGAGGTTTTCATGACTTCATTTCAAACATTTTTTGATAAAAATGTTGCTGAAATGAACAAGGTGATTCTTAGTTTTCGGACTTCATTACAAAATAAAAAAGAAGCTATATCTGCTCTCCGCTTTGGGCTATAAAAAGACAATGTTGATCATCGCACATCCATAGCCAATTCCATTCTTACTCTGCAGACAAGCCAAGCTCATCAAAAATAAAATAATGGATGCTTTGGCTAATTTAACCACGAAGATTAAGGTTCTTAGGGAACAATTGAAGTCTGATGCTTTTGATCTTGGCAAGGTAAATGAAGAAATTTTGTTGGTGAAAGGGCAAAAATTTCAGATAAATCAACGCTTGGTGAAGATTGTTGAAAACAAAGATGCTCCTTATAAAAATTACATTTCCCACCTTATGGATGCAAAGCTCAAACCAATTCTTGCCTAATTGAATGATGTTACAAGTTGCAGGGCTACTTCGCAACATGGGGGAGATGAAGGGGTATTTCCAGAAGCTAACATCAATAATCCTTACTAGACGGGTTCAATGGAAAAGAACAATGTGAAAATCCATTTGGAGAAGCAATCTATGGAAGAAAAATTGAAGAATTTAAGGGAAAAGAAAACTGGCCAAAAGGGTAATGAAGCTTTTGGTTTTAGAAAAAGAAATGTGAAAATTGTTTCTAAGAAGTTAGATGATTTGGATCCACCATTGACAAAAGAACAACAAGAAGATCAAGCAAAGCGTAATGCATTTCTGGATGAGCTTAATGCTTTGAATGCAAAGCTTAATGTAGAGGAAACTGAAAAGAAGAATGCATAAGAAATTCTTGAGAACAAGAAAGCTCTATTTCCTCCATGGTCAATCGAAAGAATTAAAGAAGAAGCTCTCAACAATCCAGAACTCTATTGGTTGGAACCTCAAACCTCTTTCTCAGTTGATAACGATGTTGACTGTAAGATGGATTTGTCTTTCACCGCGAAGGCTTTCCAGTTTCATTGTTTTGAGAATATTCAGAAGATGCATATGGGGAATACAACAATCAATAGAAAGTTGTTCAACTACTATGTGAAGCCTTCCAAACCTCAATATGAATCTTGGAACATCAAGAAGATTGTTGGTTTGAAAATTGGAAAGTCATAAAAGGTTGATGATTTTTGTCAATATTCATTTCAAGGCAATTCGTGGAAACAAGCATGAAACATACGAGTTTACTTTGGCTGATCTTCCTTTGATGAATCATTTTGATTGGATTTCAATTCTCAATATTGTTTCAAGAGAGCCTGTCAAGTATGAACCCATCTGCTTGCATATGAAGAGGTTGATAAAAGCATATATCATTGAAATTGAGAAGATGGATATTGAGATTTCATTTGTTTTGAACAAAAGACCGACTGTGAAGCCAATGGAACCTCCGGAAAATCTTGATTCGTTGAAGGCAGGATTTATCGAGAACGAGAACTGGGGAGTTGTTTTCAAAGTAAAAGAAAATGAAGTTCCGAAGAAGTGTATGTTCTATTTGATTGATAAGCACTTGTACTCTTCTGTGGCTTTAAATCAACTTCTAGCGAATGCAGTGAAGTTCAAGAAAAATTCTTATGATGATTTGAAGTGTGTTTCGGATATGATAAAGTGGTGCATCGGAGTTCGCTCTGTTCCTCTGAAGACTATGCCGAAAGTGCTTGAATCTACGAAGAAACCTGAAGTAAAGACAATTGAAGAAGATTGACACAAAGGGGGAGATTGTAGAGTGCGTTGTTATATTGTGTCATCTTGTATTGTTTAGTTCGCAATGTCTTTACTTAGTATGAGTTATGTTGCGATCTCGCACTTTTTGTTACCTTGAGTTCGCAGCCTTGTTGTTGACTTGAGATGCCTTTCTTTTATCCCTCTGATGCCTATATATAGGGATATCAGATAGAAGAGCGGGTAAGAGTTGATCTGATAGAATAGTTCTTTTCTTGTAATCGAATTGTTCAGATCTCACTCGTTAATGAAAATACAATCTTATTTACATCATGTGTTCTTGTGAATCATATCATTGTTTGATTTGTGAATCTAAACGTTCCTTCAGGCTTATGTCTCTAGATAGGCTTATTATTCATAATAACCTTGATTTTAGAGGTTTGGATGTCCCTTCCTTGTAATTCCCTCTTTGTGATATGGAGATTAAAAATAATAACCATGTGTTTTTTACTTGTCGGTTTTCTGTGGAGCTTCAGTTGTGATTATTTAGATGGTCGGACCTTAATGATCACTTTATTTTTTCTTATGAATACTTGTTGGTTTGATTTTCTTTTCTCTTTGTTACTCTTGTATGGTGAAAGCTTGGTTTGAGGGTTTTTCTTTTTTCTTTGGTGGTACATTTGGAATTTCATAAATGTTTGGATTTTTTCTTCTTCAATTCCGAAGGCGGCACACTTATTCAATAAATTTGTAACTGAAACTTTTTTTTTTGGGTGTAATGCTAGGCTAAGAAAAACATTAGTTAGGTTGGGTGGCTTCAAAACCCCCAGTTAGTTAGCTATTACCTGATGGTTGTTTGTGTTGATTAGTCTCTTGCTAGTCATTTTTGTTATCTTTTAATAAATCCGCGTTCAAAAAAAGATGACAATTACTCTATTTTAAAATAAATAGCATTTTTTTAATATTTAGTTTTGTATAAAACTTTAGTTCGGACTTATAACTTTAGCAATAACTTTAAAGGATTATTGATGCGATTTTACTTAATAATGGTAAAAATGAAAGCTAATAAATTTATTTATGTTTTTAGTTGAACAATATAATCGTAAGAGGAACATTGCACACTGGCAGCTCATGAATTTCAACTAATCTCATCCATCCACACTGGCAGCTCATGAATTTCTAGTGATATCATTCGTAGAGTATTATGAATTTTTCTTATATACCGTCATTATATATATACGGAGCCAAATTTTCTTTAATAAAAATACTAAAATATATTTATATCCGAATAACCATAAATTTGAAAAAAGAAATTGACAAAAAAAAATATCATTTAAATAAAAGCTATATCAATATTTACAAAAATCAAATTTCAAAAGACCATAAATGTACATTTAGTAATATTAAAATAATTAGTAAGAATATAATTATCTTTTTTTTTCATTTGGAAATATCATCTGTTGTTGCTTATGGTTTATCTTACTATTATAAATAAGTAAATTACCGATCATAATAATATTATAATTTCAAATTACAAATAAAGTTATTGGGTGAGGTAGATTTGTAAATGGGCCAATATTCAAGGTAGTGGACATTTGGAATCAAGGTAGTGAGGTAGATTTATAAATGGGCCAATATTAAAAAACAACTATAATTGTTGGGTGAGGCAATGGGTGGACTAGAAAAAAAAATTGAAGGGTTGTACAGAGATTTTTTAGAGGTTGTATATCAAGGGATACTTAATACCATTAGCATTTTTAAAAGGGTTTATAAACATTGCTCTGTGGCAAATTCATCCCTAAAACCATTATTCATGGATTACCAACAAATTACAAGGATTTATATTAAATTTATATTTGACTGAAAAAATTGAAAGATGATTTGTGCTACTATGTGCTCTATATTAGGTCTGGCCCATACTATCATCTCATGAAGTGTTGCACACTTGCCATCCAATTGCACAGTGGCAACTCATGAACAATTGGACATTATCTTTTATATAATGAGCTTTTAAAATCACCCTTACATTATTACTATATGAGTCTTATTTAAAAATAAGGTTATCCGGAGTATTCATTACTAACCATTAATATGGTCAGTGTTATCTAATCATCACATTCAACCACAAAACCTATGATATACCTACTACTAAAACACTACCCCACATCATTTTTTTTAATTAAAGTTAAAAAAAAATACAATAAAAACATAGATTTTTTTTAAAGCTGTTTTGCATTCAATAAAAAACACACTACATTAATTTTAAAAAAGAAATTACCTTAATTAAAAAAATTATCATAAAACATAAAAATTCCAAACATAAAACACTACCCCTTATTCATATGTTTCACTCGGATGAATTCTTTCTAGAAAATTTTCCAAATCTTTGTCCTCGTAGTCGTCCACTTTTATTTTCAATATCTCAAAATCGTCTGTTTAAAACATCATTAATGCCTCTTGAAATGATGTTTGCACTATTAGCATTTTTTGTTCTACCCGACTAATCATCGCCACCTTGCTCTCTTGTAGTTGAACATATCGATCAAATTTTTTTTCTAAAATGATCGATAATGGTAGATCCAGAAGCGAACGAAACCACTTTCGTTGCTTTATTCCTTCCTATCGGCCGACGAAGAGGTTGTTCATCTTCAAGACCTACCAGATCATCATTGATGTCGATGTGTCTTTGGTCGTCCGATTATTGTGAATTTCCATCAGGTTTTCTTGAACGCTTCGAACCGGAAGAAGTTTTGTGAAGTCCCTTGTCACACCCCTGAACCAGGACGGCGGAAACGTCCGGGGGCGGATGATGTCATTGTATTGTATCATAACAGTTGAATATAAATGAATCATAGCAACCCAAACATCATACATTAAGATTACAAGTTTACATAGTTTTATACACTGTGCTTGTTCAAAAATTACACATCATATGACTGAAAAGTAAAATTCCATAATGCAGCAACTCCTGTTCTCAAAATGATTTGAATACCTGTTTACGGGTTCCCTGAGAATACAAGTGATTTTGAAAAGCGTCAACAATAATGTTGGTGAGTTCATAAGCATTTTTGTATGAAAAGGGTTTGTAATTGTTTTGTTTAAAATGGTTTTGTATACTTCCAGAAAATCTGATATTTTCTACAAAAAATGGGCTATAAGTCTTATATCCAAGATTAAATATGTATGTAAGACTTTTGTATCTTTTCCTTGTAAAAAGATAGTGTATGTTTTCAGAAAATCAAATATTTTCTTATGTATGAACTGTAGTCTTAATCCCTAAGACCAGAAATGTAAGAAATGTTGTACTGTAAGATAGTATGTAGTTTTATTATTTTTATATAAAACTGATGAGGTGTAAGCTTCCCGTAAACCAAATAGTATAGTTAATCCTCATGTGAGTTAATGCTTAATATGACTGTTATGCATGTACGACGTTTCTTCAAGCGTCGGAATCGGTAGATATTTGTCACCCTAGACTTGCCGGTCTAACTGTAACGAACAGCTCAGGTGTGGGGTTGTCAATCCCGTATAGATCTATACACAACAATCTCGCTCTCCCTCCAGGAGACTCTGGTTATAATGCAGGACTTAAAGTGTACACTAGGTAGGTACGGTGAAGAGAATGTCTCACTAGAGCATTAACAGATTTACGTGAACTACGACTCCCTTTTTCTTGTATAAAGAAATAATTATATCATTGAAAAACTATAAGAGTGCGGTTTTATGACTCTTAAACTATACAAAATATAGTTTTCCTTGTATGTTTTTGTGTGGTCTATTTATATAAATTTTTATATAAATATAAAGTTAAATTCTTTCCTAGCGTTAATATTGTTATTAAAACATAATATCCTTGAGTTTTAACCCATCAAAACAGTAATTACTAAAATATAACAAGTTTTACTAGAAAAACTATTTTTAGTAAAGAAATTACCAAAAAAAAACTTGTAGCTTTTACAACTCATATTTTCCGGTTGGTATTTGTATCACAAAATAAGTTATGTTTTGTCATCTTTACAAATCAAGCCTCATAGGTCACGCTTTTTGGGTAAAAATAATGGTGATGACTACACCTTATACAAATATTACTTCATATTCAAATAATAAAGGTGAAGCACGCAAATATCCATAAGAAA